TTCCATAAGTGTGACTTTCCCAATCAGTTGAGTAGAAGATGGTGGCAATGAGTTAAATCTGATATTTCAATTTCAATCAGTGATGGTAATTTTTATTTCATCAAATGAAAACTTTTTTGTAATTTCAATATTCATTTAGACTATTTTAAATATAAAAAAATCAATTTCTTGTTTTGCTTTTTCCCCTCATCTATTCCTGTAAAAGAATCTGAGTACTGATAAAAATTTTGCTTGACAAAAGTGCTGATGTATAATAGAATGCTCAAAATTGGTATTTTTGGCAGGAAAAAGGAGTCACAAGCAATGTCTTTAATTAACTTATCAGACCAGGCCAACTAGTCTTACTTCTTTAACTTACAAACCTTAGCAGACTTCAAGGCTAAAGCAGATTGTCTCAAATATATTATCAGGTGGGATTCTCTCCAGCTTAAGATTTCTTTCTTATTCTTGGTACAGATTTGTGCTAAACTTACTATCATGACAAACAGCATAAGTGTTAAGGTGACTGGGGCTTTAAAAAGATAAAGGCCCCTTTGGTTTACATATGGAAGTATTTCACCATCATTGTTGATGGTGAATGATAGTTTTGGTGATGTGGAAAACCTTACATACGTGTTCCTTTCAGGTTCTCCATAGAAACACATGAATGTGGTTGCTGGTTTATGGAGTGGGGAATATCCATTAGTCTCTGTAGCTTGATCTAACATAAATGATTCCTTAGAGCAGTGAGATGGAAAACCAGAAATCTAACTAACTGTATGCCAGACAAGGCCTAGACTTGCTCCCATAATTAACTCCCAAAGCAGGAGCATTGCTTCTCCTCAGCTTCGATGGCCTCTCTGCCTCACTAGCTCACAGGGTGTGAATGATGTCTGCTTGTTTATCAGGAAATCTGAAAGTTTGCCTTTGTCTTGTTTTTACAGCTCATTGCTTCTCCATCTCTTTTTCAAATCTCATTTAAAAGATATTTAGATATTTTCTCCTTGCTCATCTTTCTTAATTTTACTCTGCCTCCCTTGGTGGCCTTGTGATTCTAATGTCTGACATTATTTTTTTGAGGATGTTTGTCAGTTTTCTTTTTTACTCAAATATTACCATAAAATACTTGCAAGTTTTTCTTATGTGGGAATTTACTACTCCTGATTATTCAGGGGCAGTAAATTATTACTAGAATATATGTTGTTCACTTATAAAATTGCTTTACCTTATTCACTAACAGGATCCTAGTTTAAATTATGTTCAGGATAGTGCTTCTTAGAACATATTTATATATTAAAATACAAATATTTTTAATAATGAAATTATCCTTCTAAGAGAGTGGTTCTTCTAATGTAAAGAGTTATTTTAGCCAGAAGAAGCTGTGGGTAATATTTATATCATTAGGAGATTAGTTAATTGCTAGTTACTGAGACGGCTGGAAAGGTTAGAAAGTTCTGAGATTTCCTACCATTAAACCATTAAACTGTACTAACACTATCTAATAATATTTAAATTTCTTATATGTTTTGTGTTCTATTATTTTTCTTATATAAAAGCCTGAAGGACAGACACTGAGGGAAGTGACCACAAATTTATCTTCACCTTTTTTAGCTCAAGGACATTTTAAGGTCTGTGAGACAAACTTCAAGTCACCTTGATAAAATGTGTGACTTGTGCCAGGGATTTAGCTCAGCGGCAGGAGCACCTGCCTGGTAAGAGCCAGGTTGTGAGTTTGATCCTTGGTATCCCCCCCAATACATAAATAAAATGTGTGGACTGTGTTACTCAACTTTCTGTTAGTGTCACAAATGCCTGAGATAATCAGCTTATATAAAAGAATAATTTATTTCACCTCATGATTTTAGAGGTTTTAGTCTCCTACCTCTTAAAGGTTCCATTACCTCCCACTAGTGCCACAGGCTGGTGACCAAGTCTTTAACATGTGGTCTTTTTTGGAACACTAGATCCAAACTAGCAGGACTCTCTCCCTTACTGTCTAACTTCACCCATAAAGTTGAATAGAGACATTGGTGGGATCTAGACCATTATTGTTGGGAGGTAGTATTCTAAGTAGAATCAAATTTTGCCCAAGTCTTTGATTTTGGAGCATGAGCTGCCTTTTAAAAAGAACTTATTCCTTGAGGCAGTCATTACTGACATGCAATGGGCCAACTCAGCCTCTCAATCAGACGAAGTAGTCAATCCAGACAAAGGAGTGAGGGTGTCTGTCTTTCTCTTCTGTCAGTGGTCTTAGCATCTCAGTTTTTGGGCTACCTTCAAAGCTTGTGAATGCCAACAAGTTTTTCTGTATTATTCTTGGCAATACAGGTGCTGGAGAGAGTATTCTTGGATAGCTTCTGCACTGCTGGGAATGAAGATTTCTGGCCAATGTGGTATGATTCCAAGGAGCTCTGGCTTCCAGAGAAAGGATTTCTGTGAAGTGCACCAGGACACTGTTTTGAGAGTGTCTATTAACATCTCCAGTAAATCATCTGAGATCAAGTGTTTAGAAACAGCAGAGACCAAAGGCAGGTGAGAGTCCCAGAAACTTTCTCCATGTCTATACCATTTGCAAAACATTTTGGAATTCAAAATCTTGAAGCTTGTGTATCAGCTTTCCCTAGAGAAAGAAGGCACACCTTTAATGTGTGCTTGCTCCGAATTGTTATTTCTTTGATGTCTGTGCTTCTTCATACTTCCATAAAGAGAACTAGGGCATCAAAGTTTAAAAGTTAATTTGCTTTCTTGTGGTGTGGTTGAAGGAAAACTATGTTGGGGAAAAAGTACCCTCTAGTTGTTGCTTTCTGATAAGAAAGCCTAAAGGAAAGGCTGACACACCAAAATGGAAGATGTGTGTGTGTGTGTGTGTGTGTGTGTGTGTGTGTAGTATGGTATGCTTTCATGGTTTTCTAAATTCAGACTGTTGAGTTCCAGGATCCTAGGCAGGCCTCCCTAAAGGTATTTTGCCATAGCTAACGTTTAATCTTTTTTATGCTTTACAGTCTCCAGATCTGATCTTCATCACTATCTTCAATGAGGGAATTTTATGTCATAATTTCCATTTCAGAGTAACACAATGAGTGGAACTGGGTATATCCCTCCCCTTGCTTATTTGGTCAACATTTTTGATGTCTATTGTGTGAAACTAAATACTACATGTGAATTTTCTCCTGCCCCACTGGGATTTTGTGCTTTTATTCAGTCAGTCGTCTGTTGGTATGTGGCTTCAGTTCAGAAGTGGAAGGTCCCTCTATTTATTGCCATGCTGTGAGAGCGCTAGTTGAAAAGAACCTGGTTGCTCACTCATAGAAGCTTTTTAATGCTGCTTCATCCAGGGCCTTTTTTTTTTCTTACTTAGGATAAGCTTTCATGAGTTAAAAACTATTTCCTAGTAGTCTGTCTTGGCTCTTCAGAGTATCTCTCAGTTCACTGCCCTCAGATTATGATGAGTATGTCTGGATTTGAAAGCTTTTGGCTGAGGCTGAATAAATGCACTCTAAGACAGATGTTCAGTCTGTAGAAATGTAATAGAAAATCCACTTGGTGTTTCATCAGCCCCAGGCTGATGATGTGATTCAACTCCAGGTGCTTTGTCTTCAGTGTAAACTTTTTCATCTATTGCTTTGAAGATAGAATGATGATTTCAAATTGGATCTGGGATGCTGATGGAAACCAGTGCCTACCTAATTGCTCCTAGTGGCCTGAACACTTGTCATTCTTGTCAGCCAGAGAAAAGCTACTTTACCATTTGAGTCTTTTTGGGTAAGATTTCCTGTCTAGTCCCTAGTGCTTTGTTTTCCTCAAGATCTGCATTGCTAAATCCTTGTTGATAGGTTATGACTGTTCTTAAACTCCTTCCTTCCTTGTTCTCTGGCCTTTTCCTTGCGTTTGGAGGAGAAGATCTCAGGTGCATTTGATAAACATCTACATTTTAAGTGCTTTGCTGGGTCCAGTCCCTGTGTGATGTATGCTTTCATATGGGTAGGAGTAAAGTTTGTATAGCTGGTTTGCACAAAATATTGAAGTACATGTAAATATCAGCAAATGGTTCCTTTGTTGAAACCCTGGGTACCTCCTGCTGTGCTGTTTATTTGGCCGCTCATGAGAATCTATTCCTTGGAACTTCTTTTTTTTTTTTTTTTTTTTTTTTTTGGCTTAAGAGCTTGAATTTTGTTCTAGTGCAGTGGCACCTAGAAATTCATTCTAATTGATTGGTACTCCTGAGGCCCCCCGCTTAGTTATCTGCTACTTTGGACCTTGCCTCTGGTTGAGACAGAATTTGATAGAGTTTTGCACTCCTGAATGTCTATACTATTTTCTGGGGTACTAAAATTTCTTGCTGAGAAACTTACCTTCCACGAATAGATATTTATACTCTTCTAAGAAGTAAGATGAATGCCATATTAGAAATTAACATGGAATCCACATCAGTCTCTTAGTAATTTCAGAACAGTTTTTCAGATTGAGCTTAAGTTTTCATGTTTTTCTTGATATTGCTACAATTCTTGCCCTCTAAGATAATATTTAGAGCCAAATTGGCTTTTGAAATTTTGGGTAACGGATAATTGCACATGTGAGAGTATTCACCTTCTTGTTATTAGAAAAAGTCATAACATTATTGAGCAATTTTTAAGGAAAAGTTTTTAATTATTACCTCTTTATTCAGTAGTTTGGCAGGATATAGACTTAACCAGCTTTCATGAATTAAAAGAGACACACAAGCTTATATATCACATGGTTTCTCTTATATGAAAAAATGAATGTATAAATAATTTGAAGAGTAAAACAAAATATAGGTAATAGGAAAAAGGATAGATAATTGCAAGAAGAAAGAAGAATAAGAGATGGAAGAAAGAAAATACAAAAGCAATTAAGACATGTCACGTACATGTATTGACTGCTTATGATGAATGTAATCATTATACACTGCAAATATATACTAATAAAATTTGCCTTTTCAAGTCAGAAAATTTGTCTTCTTTGGCATTTAAAATATGATTCAATTTGTATTTTATATACAGACTCTGAAGTGAAAATTCCAGAACCCTACAAACGGAATGAACTCACGTTTGTGAATCAGTATGTGGTTTTATGGGTAGGAATGATGTGCATATACTCATCGCAGGCCCATTCGTTCCTCTCATGTTTGACAGCTTCCCTACAAAATGCCTGTAATGGAAGATGTTTGTGCAATAGAGAGGTGGGTGCTCACTGTACCAGCACTGATGTGCTGCATTTTGACCAAATGACTAACTTTGCAAACAGACTATTTATGTTGAGTACGAGTAAAGCTTCTCCACCAAAGTGCATTTTTAATGATCTACTTTAAGAGCAAGTGGGTTTAGAAGTAGCTGTCTAGGAATCTGATTGGCTGGCACTAGTGCCATTTCCTATAATTACCCAATAAACCATAAGGGCTTTGTTGGCACATTTACTCAAGCCTGCGATGTCTGACCAGCTGCCACCCAGCATCGAAGTCCACTTCTAATGCCCTTTTAAAAATCTTTGTGGAGATATTTGGTGCCTGCAACCCCCTGAAAAAATCTTTGGAGAAATTTAGTATCTATGTATGGAAATTTTCATGATAAAATATTGTGCCTTTCTTTTTATTTTTAAGAATCTTTAGTGTTTTCTCTATCCAGCTAAAATTATAAAAATCATGATCTGGACTAAGCTGTTATGTTGATTTTTAAATTTTTTTTTCACTTCTTAGTACATTTAGGACTTGCACTAAAAAAAGCAGATGTATGTAACCTAAAAATTGCAAATTGCAAATCCCATCTTGAAACCAACATTTGAAGTTTGTGGACACAATGCACTTAAAAGAATTAAAGGGAGAAAAGAAAATTTAAATTATATCTTAAATGTAGGAAATAACTCACTCAGTTTCTATGGTAAAAAATAAAGTTATGGTGTAAGAAAGAAAATCACTTGTATACTAACTACAGGCCAAGTAATTTCCAATTTCTATAGGGTACATTTTAAGTGTATTATAGACCAAGGGTATTATAAATGATTCTCACACCATTTTCTATGGACAAATATATAGTCATCTCTCAGTGTTTGTAAAGAATTGGTTCCAGAACTTCTACAGATGCCAAAATTTGCATATATGTGAGTTCCTATATAAAAGATATAGTATATATATGTATATATTCTTTCCAATACTTTAAACCATCTCTAGATTACTTACATATCTAATAGAATGAAACTGCTGTGTAAATTATCATTAGGCTATGCTGTTTATGTGATAATGACAAGAAAAATAATTATTTTTACATATTCAGCACAGATGCAATGTTTTCTGTAATATTTTTGATCTAAAATTGATTCAGTCTATAGCTGTGGATACAGATATTGAGGGCTGATTGTATTCTATTCAGGGAAAAATCATTTTATTTTATTACAGTATAGAAATTGTGAATCTTTGATTTGTAGTTTCAGATATGTTTACTAAGACCTCACTTTTCATTGACTGCAGGGTAAGTACATGGTGTTGCCTATGGACTCTGTCATTAGTTGTTGATGTATAGAGTGAGTCATTTTATTTTCTCAGACTATAGTGGCACTGTTCACATTTTTATGTAATTAAGTGTAACAGTGACGTACTGAATAAAGAATGTGGTCTTACACTGAATGGCTAAACGAATCCGGCATTTACAGTGGCTATGTTGGCCTTCCAGAGAATAATAGCTTCACTTTCAAGAAACTAATGCAGAGTAAATCTTTGCATTAGTGTAAAATTAACAACCTAGTATTTCTCCAACAGAATAGCAGCTCTGTGAGGAGGTGAGTATTGGCAGTGAGCTAACATGAAATAAAAGAAATTAAATGCACTTGACAGTAATTGGGTGAAGCAAGTTCAGGAGATGCGATGGCAGCAGAGCACAACAAAGTAACACAATTAAGGACACATTAGCCATATGTCTCTATTATGTTGAGAACAAAGCAATATGAATGACCAGGTGATGACCTTCACCCCAAACTGGAAGGTGGCTGACAAGTCCTGTGGGTCTGGAAACTAAAGTTAGAAAATGAGATTAAAAATTATAGGGCACAAATGATAGTGATCTGCAATTTGGAATTGATGAGGACTTGATGAATAAGAGTCCACTAGGATACAATACGTACTGCATGCTATAGCCTATGGATTAACTGAAATTAAAAACAATTTTTACTAGGTGTAGATCACAACATGACTCTGTTATGTATACCTAAATATGAAAGAATATTTATATGTGATATATATTAATGCACCATCTAAAACTTTCCTTTCACTGAACAGTGAGTATATTTCCACGCCACTGCATCGGGAACATATTACAATGGTAATTTGATCAAATGATTGTGTACTTGTTGCTTTGCATGTCTCTCTCTTGGTCAGCCTGTGATCTTCTATTAGCAAGAACTGTGTCCTTGGAATCTAGCCTAGTGCCAGACACATGGGGGTCACCCAAGAAGTCATCACTGAATGAATACTTTTTATATTTAGTGACTTTGCTTCTGAGATTAAGTGTGTTGGAAAAGGCTGTTAGGCAGGCTCAATAGGAGTTTTCTCCATACTGTACATGTATTTTGTTTGTTCTTTGTGGAGATGCTATAAGGAAGATAGCTGTGTTGTTTTTTCTTATCCTCCTTAGATTTGATTTGTTCTATGGTTATTGCCCAAACTGTCCACACACAGGTTTTGGAGCAAAGATGGTGGATAGATAACAGCTGGCTACAGAGGCTCCCTGAGATAGTCAACATAATTCAACATAATACAGCAATCAAAATACAGTCCCGGTGCTACTGCTTGAACAGCTAAAGGTTCAGTGCTCCCGCTACAGTGCCTGAACTTGTGCAGCAACTTACCGAGCCGTCTGAAATCCTCTGCCTTGACTCGCTAGAAACATAGTCACACTGAGGTTGAGGGTTGGCAAGTCGAATGGTGAGTTGAGCTGTCAGGGAACCTGCATTGACCTGTGGTGAATGACGGGAATAAAACCATTCCACAGAAAAAGGGGCTTCAACAGACGATATTCTGGGACTGTGCAAGACTGGCAAGAACAAGGAACAGCAGTGACTTTAGTCAGTTGTTCCCTTCCTGAACAGGATTGGTGGAGTGAGGTTGGCCTGGGTCACGCAAACTGGCTGAGACCCAGTAGGTTATCCGAAATCAATTCCCTACGGCGGTGGTGCACACTAACACAGTGAAGGCCTCAGCAGATTGACTGACCTGGAGTGGAGGGGCCAGCATATGCTGCCCCTGTTTGCAATTCACTAATACACTACAGTGGGAAGGGTCACCTAGCCAGAGTGCTTCAGAAGAATTGTAAGCAACAAAGAAAGAAACTGGGACCTACTGGAAGAAACAAAAAAGATGGGAAGAGGAAGCAACAACAAAAAGTCCCTAGGTCCCAATCCTGAGAACATTGACCCAGGATAGGGAAATACAAAGGACAATGAGGACAGCAAACATGCAATATCAGACACGGCACCAGTGGAAATAAAAAGATATCTTTGGGACCTCATAGACGAGTTCAAAAGGGAAATATTTAGCCAAGTAAAGCAAGATATAAGAAGATTGATTAAAAAAGATGCTAAGTACTCCTCAAGAAGACACAGACAGAAGAAGGGAGGAACTCAAACAAAGGAGAGAACCATTTGATGAAGAATATAAACAAAACATAGAATACATGAAGGGGTCTCAAAGAGATTACCAGGAAATTAAAAACTCTGTGGAAAGATGGCAAATCTGCTTGAAAGAAACTAAGGATAGACTATCCAAACTGGAGGACAGTTTTGCAATGTGGGATTATGAAAGGGAAAACTTTTTAAAAATAACAAAGAAACAAGAAGTAACAATACAAAGACTAGAAGATGACAAGAGGATCTATAAGTTGAGAATAAAGAATGTGAATGAAGAAGCAGGGGTACAAACAAAGGAACTACAAAGGCTATTCATAGAAATAACTAAGGAAAACTTCCCAAACATAGGAAAAGGAAATGATATTCTGATTTATGAAGCATACAGAACTCCAGCCACCTACAGCCAAAACAGAGCCACACCCAGGCATATAATAATCAAGATTCCAGATATTTAGTATAAGAACAGAAAATTAAAAGCTGTTAGAGACAAGAAACAGATAACCTATAAAGGAAGGACCATCAGAATAATGGCAGACTTCTCGACACAAACCATCAAGTCAAGAAGAGCCTGAAGGGAAATATTCCAAGCCCTGAAAGAAAATAACCTCCAACCCAGACTGATATACCCTGATAAACTGTCTCTAGAAATTAATGGAGAAACAAGATGCTTCCAAGACAAAGAGGAACTTGGGTAATTTGCGACTACCAACCCAACTCTATAGAGAACACTGCAGGGCATTCTAGAAAGAGAGAAAAGTACTAGGACTCCAGGAACAGTGGCAAAGAGGCCTCAATGAATGTAGCAGAAAACAGAATGAAGATAAGCAGACAACTGATGGCAAAAAAAGAGCATAACAGAAATGAGGCAGAGAAGATTTTATTCAAAACTGATATGATTGATAGTATCAAGTCTGAGAGAGTATAGACAACTACACTGAAGATGACAAGACTCTACGATACACATTCTGGTTTGATTACTGCCTGTTTTTCAAGTTTTATACTATATACAAAGTTGTGTTTTTACTAATACTGTTATATACTGATATATTCAATTATACTATGTCTGATGATATAGCCAATCCTATTGAAAATAACAAGAGACAACACAGGAACTATGGTAGAACTCCTTGTACAATGGTCTTATATGTCTTTTCCATTTCATGTGTTTATAGGAATATGTTTTGTTTTGTCTTGCTTTGTTTTGTTTCTCCCCCTAATATAGAAAGGATAGAAATACGTGTTAAGACTCATGCATGTGTAGAACCTATAAACAGTTTATTAGAACTGATCTTATGAAACATGATGAACAAATACTTTGAAGAAAAGGAGACACTAAAGTACCCAGTGCTGATCCTGGAGTGCCATAATGTGAAACCCAGCAATAGTATTATTTTTGTTCAGAGTGTAATAGCCTGCTTGGGTTTGTTCATTCTCAACATATTTGAAGATATGGAGCTGCATGTATGTTTAAGTGTATAGGACTGATAACCGTATTTCTAAGTTTTTGTTGGATAGTTGAACAGAACTGGTTGCAGTCTCATTGTTTTAATCTCCACTTTATATGCTCCACTTTAGTATCTTGAAAAACTATTTGTAAGAGGACTATCTGTAAAAATCAACTAGTGATTTCTTATTGTTTATTTTTTTCTTTGAAAGTATGTATTGTTTCTACCCGTTTTCTGTTTTGTTTAATTTTTCTTTAAATAAAAAAAAGTAAAAAAGACACTACAGTACCCTGTGCGGATCTCATAGTATCTTGATGTGAAATCCAGCAATATTATTATTCTTTGTTCAGAATGATTTTAGCCTGCTTTCGTTTGTTTAATCTCACCATAATTGAACATATGGATAACTGTATGTATGTTTAAGTGTATAGGATTGATAACTATATTACTAAGTTTTTGTTGGATAGTTTAACAGAATGTTTACAGTCTCGCTGTTTGAATTCCCACTTTATATGTTCCACTTTTGTATATTGAACAACTATTTGTAAGAGGACAGTATGTAAACATCACTAGTGATTTCTTACTGCTTATTTTTTCTTTGAATGTATGTATTATTTCTACCCATTTTCTGTTTTGTTTAGTCTTTCTTTAAATAAAATTAAAAATAAATAATAAACTGTCCACATAGTTAAGTAAATGTGTAATAAAGAGATAAATGAAGGATAAAAGGATAAATCAAGCAGTTTAATTTGAAAACTAAAATTCTCCAAAATATTCTATTAGTAGCAGCAGGGTGAAAAAATCTATTTATAAAAACATGGAAAAGAAACACAAGCTAGCATACTTGTTCCTGTGATGTCCTCTACCATGTATGTTTTCATAGAGCAAAGAGACCCTCACCAGACATTGGCACCATGCTTTTGGGCTTCCCAGGCACTGAAACAGTTAATTGATAAATCTTTTTTATTTGTAAGTTACTCAATCTGTGGTACTGCACTCAGTTATAGCAATAGCAAATGGTTATACAGTTACATGGAAGTACATACACACATATTCACACATAAAAATGCATAATTTAGTATGGCTTAACATAGGGCAGGCCACCTTTTGTTGTGAGTAACTTTCCACCTTTTGTTACTCACATACTTCTATCTTGATTTGAACATAAGCACTGGTGTTACAGGTATTTCAGCAAATGGTCAGAATCTCACATTTTATGTTAATTGGTTTCATATCTATGAGTTCTACTTTGTTGACAAGAGGAGCATAGATTTTAATATCTTTATAGTTTCCAATGTTGGGTTCTAGCTGAAACCACTTCCATATTTGCGTTTAAATATTTAGTTTGTTTTCTTTTGTAGAGCTGACAGGCAAGTTTGTATCAATGTAGTTTATTGAAATACCAGTCTCCAAGTAGATAACTTTGTCACCTGCTGGGAACACAAGAGGTCAGAGTCTGGAGAAATAGTGTTTCAAGGCAAATGCATTTTATTTAGGTTCCAGCTCCTCCCTTTACTGAGTTGTCACTGGCAGTCTCGAGTTTTCTAAACCATGGTTTTTCACTGGTAAATAAACAATGGTATATTCATGATTGAACTGTTTAGATGATTACATAAAAATACAAAGTACCATACAAATGTTAAATTAGTGGTAGATGTTGGTAGTAGACTATATCTTTCTTGCTTTTAACATTTGTTTGCATAGTTATTTAATGGAAGAGATATTGTTCCACTTCTTATCATATGATGACATGTTGTGAAAATGTTGTAGTATTGTTAAATAGCAATGTATGTTATATAAATATATATATATATATATATATATATACACACACACACACACACATATATTAATTTGTTTTGTTAGAAAACTTTCTCAGCCCCATTGCAAAATGAGTCGCTTCAAGACAGTAGTTTCTGGATCTATTAGAGTGATATATCTAAAGATAATAAATTTTGGATCTATTTTTGTAAATGAGGACTAAAAGGTATAATAGATATTGAGAAATGGGAAAAATATTCTAATGGGAAGGGGAACAGAAGAGACAGTAGAGGGAAAGGAAGGAACAGAGAGGGATAAAAAAAGAAAATAAAAGGAAAAAATGAAAACTAAGCTTTTGTAAATGAGAAGTTGAAAGGAGAGGAGACTGGGGGAAAAAAAGAAGCAAGATCTATGGTGTACAGGTCCAAAATCCCTGTGATGAATGTTATCATTACATGTGTTTAAAATGTACCAATAAAATTAAAACAATAAAAAATGACTATTGGAGAGAGTTTTGGTGGACTAAAAAGAAGTTCTCCTTGCTTGTTTTCCAAATAACCTACTCCAGGAAGAGGGAGGGGGTAAGTGGGAGAAACACTATGTCCACATGGGGGAGGGGTGGCTGGATGTTTGAACCAGGATTTGCTCTTGGACCTTGTCTTATTTTTCTCTCTCACTGAGACAAAATACCTGACGCCCAGAGTTAGGGAAAGGAAAGTTTATTTCTTACAGGTTGGAGGTTTCAGTCCATACTCAGCTGGCTCCAAGCAGCAGGGGTGGCATGGCAGGCTGCCATTTATGGTTGGCTGCAAGCAGCATGTGCAAACCTGCAAGAGCAAGAGACACCCCTTTTCCCACCAATACATGATATCCCGGCTCCACCCCTAGGCAGGTGTAGCACTCATACCACCAATCCGAGCACTAGACAACAGGCCAATCACAAACTCTAGATTTGGTTGCATCTATGATTGCAGGAGGCTCAGGGCGTGGTCACAGGAACACAAACCACAACAGATCAAGTGGGAAGAAAGGCCAAGCAGTTGACCTAAACTGAAGAGCAGGCAGCAGTGGTCTAGTCTGAGAGGTTTCCAGACTTAGAAAACTTTGTTTAGTCACAGGAGGCTGGAAAGAGGTATAGTATTTATATTGCCTCTCAGTTGTTTACACAAAACATCTTTCTGAGTAAATCAAATTGGAATAATAAAGAGAATTTGAGTCTAGTTTTGCATTAAGGTAGAGGGTTTGAAAGAAGAATTTCCTTTATAGTTGATTTTTTTTTGTACTGAGAATTTATTCTTTATAGGAATTATATATTTTTTAGTTTCTGAAAAAATTCAAGCCATGCTAGGGCATTTAAATGCTTAGAATTTATCCATTAAATTAGATGGAAGGGTCATAAACCATTCTGTAGAATTCTGGGCTGATATATCACTCTTGAAAGGTGTTAATTTAATTTCCCAGCTCTTATTTGTTTAGTGGAACATATTAATTGCTTGGTGGATAGAATTAAAACATTTTAGGCTTCAAAAAATGGAAAGCTCTGAAAAATAAATAGCTTGATTTCAGAACATTCACGCTGATTACAGCAGCTTCTTTGATCACCGACTATGTTTATTCTCTCAGAATTCTTAACAATTGCTTTTAAAATAAGATTTCATCCTGATAGAGCAGTTTAAATAAAAAACAGTTTCTTTCAACATCTAAATTAAAATCGTGGAAATGAAAACATTATCTGTCTATCCTTGAAGGCATTATTGCAGTAAAGCCTAGTAGCTCAAAATAGGGAGATCTTTTGGTCCAACTCATTGTACATCAGCTGAATATTGAAATGATTGATTCTTAATCTATCCTTTATTAAATTTTTACATATTATGTTCCCACTCTGCATCTTGTGAGTCTTTATGTGTGTTAACTCAATTACCATGCACTTCACCTACATACATGATGTTTACTCACATAATACAAGGAGAAACTGTGAGCTAAGGAGGTGTGCCTTGGTGAATGTCAGATGCGCCCAGGAGTGTACTTTCAGCCTCTCCACTCGACCAGCCTGAATCATTTACTCTCACCCTCTAGTGCTCTCTCCAGCTCACTGTTGAAAGTATGGATATCATTTCTACCCTCTAACTTTCTTACTGCAATTGCTCTGCTACAACAAAATTCCTGAGGTCAGATACTTTACAAGGAACAGGAATTTATTTTCTCATAGTTCTGGAGACTTAGAAGTCCAAGATCAAGGTGCTAACGTTTTGTGTCTGGTAAGAGCCCTCTTTCTGCATGCTCTCATGACTGAAGGGCAAATGCTATGTCTGCACTTGGTGTTTAAGACAAAAGGGGATGAATCCACTCCTTATCTCTTTTTCATAAAGGCCCTGATTTCATCCATGGAAGCTCTGACTTTATGACTTAATCATCTGTTAAAGGTGCTACCTCTTAATACAATCATTTTGGTGATTCAGTCTATGAATCTGTGTGTAATAGAATTTTCTTTAGATAAAATTTTAAAATAATTTAAAAGTGTATTGGAAAATACCCTAGCCAGCTATCTCAAAGGACTTCTAACTAGAATATATGAAGAATTTAGAAAATATCAGCACAAAATTCAAAGTCCTTATCCAAAAATGGGCATCTGAGATGAGTATGCATTTCTCAGATGAAGAAATACAAATGGCAAATGAACGTATGAAAAAATGTTCAGCATCGTTGGTCATTCAAGAGATGTAAATTAAAACAACACTGAGATTCCATCTCACTCCAGAAAGAATGGCCAAGATCAAGAAATCAACCAATACCAAATGTTGGAGGGGCTGTGGGGAAAAAAGTACTCTTCTCCACTGTTGGTAGGAACATAAGCTGGTGCAGTCACTGTGGAAATAAGTGTGAAGGTTTCTCAAAAGCTAGAATTAGAAGTTTCATTCAACCCAGCTATCCACTTCTGGGCATTTTCCCAGAAGAATTGAAAACATCATACCACAGTGATATATAAGCACCCATGTTTATAGCAGTGTAATTTGTAAAAGCCAAATCTTGAGATCAACACAAGTACTCATCAACTGAGGAGTAGATAAAAAAGATGTGGTATTTTTATAAAATGGAATACTATATAGCTCTAAAGAAAGATTGCATTAAGGCTTTGTAAGTAAGTGGATGTGACTTGAGACCATACTCACAAGTGAGATAAAGCAAACTCACATGTGTAAATATCATAGTCTCCCTATTGTAAGAAACTGAAAAAGCAAATATGATCCAAAATCTATAATAAATATTGTGTATGGGTAAGACACTGCTTGAAGAAGAAATGTACCTGGGAAAGGGAAAGGAAGAAAGAAGGAAGGGGAAAGAAAAAAGACATAAATTTGTATATAAATAGGTATAATAAGAGAGCTAAAATGACTATACTATTAATTGTATTAGTTTTTGAAGAAAAACTGTTAATACTCATATGATTAGATCAATTTTACATGCCTATATCCGATAATCTAAACAACTCCTTTGAAGGTAACAATGTGCAATACTACAGCCTTTGTTAAATTTCTATCACCTTTTTTGAAAACCTGTACTGTTATTGTTTTGGGCCTATTGTTGTTTGTTTGTCTCTTGCTTTTTGTTTTTCTTTTCTGTGTTTTTTTTTCTCTAAAATAAATTAAAAAAATAAAAGTAATATTGGAATATGGGAACTGTCTTGTAACTTGGTCTCAGTGTGGCTCAATGAATGTAGAACTGTGTAAAATGCATTGAGTTGTACCTGTTGCATAAATTACTGTATACAAAAAAGGAATTGAAAATGCTCCTAATATATGGAGGTTAGCATTTGATTTATTCACCATTGGTTATATTTTGTGTGCACCCTGGGCTTGGGTTGCCATCACCCATACAAAGGCACATCTCAAAGTCTTATCATCAACCTCACAAGCTGAGCACCCTGGGATGTAGGGGGAAGAGTCAAAGTTAGGGACTTGTAGCTGGGCACTTCTTTTTTTTTTTTCTAGGAAATTATATGGCTTTATTGTTATGGAAAAAAGGTAAAACAAAATTGTATAACAAATTAATAGAAGAAAAACAATACTTAATACATTGCATATTATTATCTTTAATTATTGAGAGTACAAAATGTATTAAAAGTGCTCAGTTATTAGCACAAACCTTCTTTTTCACTAAAATAGACACTAATAGTATAACTGACTTGCACTATTTTTTCCATTTTCTCTTCCATCCAATGTTTTCCCTCATTCTAGTTCCTTTCTAATTCTGAACAATTTCTTCCCATTTCACAATATCCACTATACATTTTAGAGTTTCAGTTTAAACTTTTTCAGTTTCTCACACTAGGGATGTAATAAAAAGTTTTTACATGTGAGTGTTTTATTCCACTTATGAGTATGGGCTCAAGTTGCACCCAATTACCTACAAAAGTTTGGAGTTTACCCTTCTACATAGCTGAGTAGTACTCCACTGTATAAAATATGACATCATTATCCATTTCTCAGTTGATGGGCACTTGGAGTGTTTCCAGTATTTAGCTATTACAAATACTGCTGCTATAAACATGAGTGTACATGTATTACTGTGGTATGTTTTTAATTCTTGTGATAAGACACCTAGAAGGGGAATAGCTGGGTCAAATGAGATCTGTAATCTTAGCCTTCTGAGGAATCTCCACACTGATTTCCATAGTGGTTTTACCACTCCTATCAGCAGTGGAGAAGTTTGTAACATTTTACACTTCCCACAACCCCTTTAGCATTTGATATTGGTTTATTTCTTGATGATATTCATTGTTTCTGGGGTGAGATGGACTTTTAATATTCTTTTGTTTTCATTTCTTGAGTGACCAGTGCTATTGAACGTTTTTTCATATATTTATTTGCTATTTGTATTTCTTCCTCTGGAAGTGTATATTCACCTCAGATGACCATTTTTGGATTGGATCTTTGCATTTTGTTGTAGATAGAAGTCCTTTATCTGAAGGAAAATTGGCTATATTTTTTCCCACTGTGTGTTGCTTTCCATTCTACTTAACTCGATAATCCAAAAAGACATTCTGAGGCAGCGAGCCCCACGCCCCCACCCCTTCCGAGTGCGCAGGCGCAGAGTGAGGGGGCGGGGCCTCGTGGTCAGCGCTGCTCTGACAGGAGGCTGAGGAGGCGCGCAGTTCCAATTCAGCCTGTGGTCAGGCCTCTCTCTGCGGCCTGGACCCAGCCCAGCGGTTCTGCCCTGGAGTCAGTGGGAAGGTGAGTGAATCGCTGAGCAGTGGCCGAGCTGAGGACACGGAGAATGGGGTCGAGGAAGGTCAGACCCCGGGGTAGGTGGTCGCTAGGCGCTGGGGGGGCATTTGGGCTCTTCTTCGGTTAAGCTTTAATATGTTCTTTTTTTTCCTCTAGGAAATAGGACAATCTAGAACTTATATTTGGTGTGTGTGTGGGTCTTCATTTTTGTGGTGTCCGTCTCCTAGCGTATTAGCTTCTCATCACTGTGACACTTCCAAGCACAGTTTAAAAG